TGGAACTCGTTTCTCCTTTCGTGTTCAGATGTAATAGGATTTGGCATGTTTGGGAGTGCTGGTAATCAGTTTGAAGACCTGCCCAGAACCAGGCGTATTTTCTGTTCATGTGGATTAATGCCAGTGAATGTTGTGTGTGCGTTTGTAGTCTAATGATTCGAGAGTATTGTGACACTTCTGATATTTAGAATTATTTTATTATACACCCCAGTTGTGTTACTATTTGCTGTATACACATGGAATATATGCGGTAAAAATAGAGATATCGCTTGTCTTTTTGGTTTCCTTAACCGTTCTAAAGGTTAATTGACAGGCACCCCGTAAAGTGCTGGCACTGGCTTATCAGTGTTATCACCAATCAGCACCTTCCTACCTGTCTGAACTCACACAAGTCTACCACCCATCTAGAGTCCTCCGATCTGCCCAACAACATCTCTTCTCTGTTTCCAACCCCACGTCTGAGACGATTTGGTCAGAGATCATTTACTTACAATGCCACCACTCTCTGGAATAAACTCCCAGATTATCTTAAAGGAATCCCTACTCTGCAAATGTTCAAAGACAGTCTCAAAACATTTCTCTTCACTCAGTTCTATAGACTCTAATCATTTCTAGCCGCTATCTCTTAACCTCGTGATGTCAGAATCTCTTATGTAGCGCTATGAGCATACACTTCGTGTCTGATTTGGCGCAATATAAATGTACTTATTATTATTTTTATTAAATGTTGTTATTTTAAGGCGTCTGTGAACTGCCTGTCTGCGTTATGGGAGGATACCGTTCTAAATTACCTATTCTAGGAAACTATATTCGACGCGACCCCCTAATTTTCCCTTTTCTACTGTCCCAAACTGATCGATACTGACGCGAGTTTCACCAGAACGTTATTCAGTTGCATTCAGGAGAAGATTGAGTGAGGTTTTATGCCGAGTTTAGCAATATTCCAGCAATAACACGACCGGGTGAACAAGAATTTTAGCTTCACACATTACACCCCATGGGTAATCGAACCCGTGTCTTTGGCGTGACAAGCGAACGCTTTAACCACAAGGCTAATGCACCTTCCCCTTCAGTAAAAAGAGGAAACACATGTGTACTGCTGTAATATCAAGTATAACATTTCTGGCCAAAGCTGCCATTGTACCATTTTTAGTAAAGTATGTAAACCGACAAGAAAGGTCAAATAACGCGAAGAATATGAAACAATGATGCAAAGTCGTCATTCAAGTTGGTTACAGCGTTCGTTCGTCAGGCCGAAGACCCGGGTTCGAATCCCCACATGGGTACAATGTGTGAAGTCTATTTCTGGTGCACCCGCCGTGTTATTGCTGGAATATTGCTAAACGCGGCGTAAAACCATACTCACACTCTGTAATCTTGGCTGATAATTACTGTCAGTGGCACTTAATGAGAATGGCGACTTAATTAACGCTTTAGGATACGTGTTGATACAAAAAGACAGATTGAGAGGCTCTGACTGTGAGCAGAGTTCAGCGTTAACAGGAGCTAAACATATCAACATGATAAAGATAAATTTCGTTAATAGTGTCCGCAACACAGCTGATTCCGCGTTAATTAGTTCCAGTGAGATTCAACTGTTTCCTTAGAGGCTGTACCAGGGGCGTGTGTAATGTTTGCCCTTGACTCGTGTTTTTTTGAGACCTTCAGAGTGATCCAGACAGTAATCACAATTGATTCCAGTTATGTTGGAGCTGCCTCATAAGTATTGTGTCAACGGACCAACGTTAACCAAGTGAATTTCAACAACCCTGGTATGACTGTCAGTTGGTGTAAGCTAAACTCACTTAAATATATGTTTTGAAATCCAGAATCTTTGGAGTTTCGTTCTTCACAATTGATGTCTACAAAGCAATGACTGCCCCAAACTCAAATCAACTGATCTGACATATTTTCATTTTATTTTTATCACATACAGTATAGCGTTTCTCTTTCCATTTCAACCACATTCCTCAGTATGGCATCAGAATTCACTTACGTCAATGCCCACACATCCGGGTACCGCCGATCATTCTCATCGACCGCACAATCATTGCCGTCTTTCCAGGGCTATCCAAAGCAGGAGAGTCGGCTATAATAAAGGAAGCGCCAGTAAAATATTACATAGTTCTTTTCGATCAGCTCTCTGCGCGCGTTATTTGGCTGTCAGTGTCACAGTGACTGGAATCAATGGATGCTTTGAGTGTGGAAGCAAAGCAAAAACTTTTCACTGTGTAGGATTTGTTGGATGATGCTCTTGGTAAACTTTCATCTGTGCAATGTTTTTGTTTAGAAGTATCCTCCATTGTTGGTTTGTCACTGTAAGTAGTAACACCTTTCACTGTTTTTCAGTTTAAGAGTTCTGGACAAATCGCCTGAATCGGATGGTGATATCCGATGGTAACATATTTACCTTCTTACCTGAATTCAATAACCTTGTGGAAAGTCGTCAAACTGTTCTCGTCTAAACAAACGCGCAATCTTAAAATCTTGCTATGTACATTAATGTAATATTAAGTCTACAAAGATACATTAACCTTTGGTTCTTTTTCGCTTTTATCTGCCATCTTGACATATATATATTTATATGACTATAGTAATATTGTATTCTCATGTACCACCGTTGGTGGTGTTTTGAGTAATAAATTGAATTGATAACGAAACTCTGAGCTGTACAATTTCTCTGTTTGGAAGTATCCTTTGCATTTTTAAGCAACATTGTTGGCCGTATTCCAGCTATGCGACGACAATATTAAATAACGTCTGGATCAGACAGTCCAGTGATTAATATCATGAGCATCGATTCAATAGGATACGGCATGCAGTCAACCACGTCACCGAGCTTAGACGCCTTTTACGACAAGCGCTGGTTGCAAGGTGCATTAATCTCTAAAAGTACTTTCTCTGAAAACTTAAGAAAATGTGCATGGGTCGGTGACAATATCACTTGAAAGCATTTGTTCCACCATTAACAGTAAGAAAAGTAACATTAACCGGTGAAAGCACTGTCCACTTGCATAAAGCAACGTAACTGCTTGTGGCAACATTATTCACGGTTAATAATACAAAATATAATGATTATTCCGTTTTTTAAACAAAAATCCTAAAAATAATAGCAAGATTCAACACGAATAATAAAATATGTATATATTTTTTTAATTAAGCAATATAGGTAATTAAATACAGTATTCAAAAGGAATATCCAAAATTATAATAATCATACATGTTTGAAGAATCAAAACGGGCCTAATTCAAAACGAATTTAAATTAATGTCACACCTTATCGTATCTTACTCACTTTCCTACCGAGAGCCTGGAATGATGTTGTTTTTTGACATGCGCTCATATTTGTCTCAAGCCATGGCCCTTAATTACTGCAATTACTGCCACCGTGTTCAGGGGATGTTGCCACGGTGCCTTAAAAACATGTTGTTTTTTGGCACGTGTAACATATAGATTGGCACCAACTGGTCTCCTCGTTGTGTTTGTTTAACTGTATCAACATAGCGACACCTCTGTAGCAACTCTTGATCGATGTCAGCAACAGGTTGTTACAAAATAGATTAGTTTTGACGCTGTGTGTAGGAGATACGATCGTGATTGTCATGTGTCTATTATAGATAAATATATAAGGTTTTGTATATATAAATCTTGATTATCTGTCGAAACCGAATCTATTGCGCGTAAATTGCAAAGGTGAGGTGAAAAGTATCAAATGGAGCCCTGAAAGTCAGTCACGGCAACAACTTTTCGCAAAAAGGGTATGTCCTGTTCTACACCACACAAATTGCGTGAAAGGTAAGCATTCTTTTACTGGTTAACACCAAATTACAGCAATCGTAGAATACGACAGCCCTTGTAAGCAATCGAGTCTTGAAGAGACAATCAAGTGATTGTGAACCAGAAAATTCTGTGATCCTCTTATCAGATATGTAAATCGGATAAACAATTATATTTTCACTCAAGTCAATTATATTTTCAAGTCAGTAAGAAATCGAAACTTTTGAAATCATAATGTAAGTGTTGTTTCCATCCAACCAGTCATGAAGGTACGTATGACATTTGTGATGGAATAATCTCATCGAATATGAACCTGATTAAATTCAAAATTCGATTTAAAATCAAAATAAATTGGAAGTGTAACGACTCCATCAATGCATCTGTGGTAGTTGAGACGTGCAGAATCTATCGCAACTCTATCAGGATCTGCTGGTCACGACCATATCTGTTTATTTCCGAATATGGGTTCAGAAATAGAATCATGTATATATGCACTGAACTGAGTGGGAACAGTTCTCTCTAAGACATCGCTGAAATTCAATCTTAAACGTGTACAGTAGGCCAAATATGTCTGACACGTGGTAATCAAACATTGTTTTGGCATAGCATTTTTACATCAACTATTACCTTCTGTACACAGGTCCTGTGTTATACTTCTTGTATTAATCATGATTGTAGTGCATAAATGTTTTAAATGTCTTTATCATTGATGAGTTTAGGAGATGTGAGAAATATTGGAGGAATTTTTAAATACCTTCGGCTAGACAAGTATCACTTAGTGCCAACTTATTTGTAGTAAATATATTTTTCTCTTACCTTCGAGTATGAAATTATGAAATTTTAATTTCAGTGCATGATTTACCTTAGACATTAGCGTTATTTATAACAACCCGATACGTAAATATTTTGCAGATACAGAGATGTCTCGAGTTGTCTCCCTTAGATTACACAGCATTTTCGACAGGTGTCCGTTTAGTCAACATGGTCGCTTCAAAGCGAGTACAATGCTGCAGTTCTAAGATATTTTATGAACGAAGAATTTCACCCTTCATTGAACTCCTACGAAGCAATAACCCGCCTTCTGCAGAGCTGAAGGCAAATTCATAACACTCGGTTTACGCGCCACTAACAGAATACCATAGTAACTGGTAAATATTCCCTGCGGAGTGATACACTGTCATGTCAAAGGTCATATAGCACTAACGTGATTGGCTGGACCTGAATGCAATGGCGTGACACAGTTTAGAGAAAATGTGAGGAAGAAACCGCGGAGACTCGAATGTATGCAAGTCGCATATATGTGTCATTTCCTGTCCACTATCTTTCCAAGACCGCACGTACACAGGACTTGACAATGTAAAAGAAAGTTGTCCTTTCCATTGAATTCAGCGAAGTGAACCGGCACGCAATAAGCTGAATGATCCCCCGACGTAATCTGCAAGCTTATTGCCGTCTCAGTGTTGTGAATTTCAAGGCCTGTGCATGCTTCTACCTGTCTGAGATTCTGAGCCATTGTAAACACTGAGTCAAATGGAATGTTATTCATCAGACCAGAAGGAGTATGTGTTTTCGGTGCGGTTAGGACATTCGGATCTTACTTACTCTCGCCTTTTCTCAGAAGAAATTGCAAGATCGAGAGTTGTCAACAACAAATGAATGACATCTAGGAGCTGGATCCCCACGTGTGGATTGTGTGTGTTTCAGTGGAGGAATTTCTTTATCTATTTTGTCTTGATCTTATGGTTAGTTCTATATCTAGTCCAGTGTTTACAAAGCCAGCATCAGCGTGAGTATGAGGCTGATAGAGCGACCAACGAGGATTTACCTGTGAGAAAACCCAAGCTTGAAAATTTTGAAAATGGCAGAGGACAGGGCCTACATGACGAACCCTCTTGTAGTGTGGGTGAGTGTTTTCAGCGGAGTCTGTCGTGTTACGACTGAAATTACATGTATTTTTAATTTTTGTTTCTGACATTATGCAGCACGATAATAATGAATTCATAACCGAGGTTATTGAACTGCGAGCAAGAAAATAATAGGACAAAAATGTTGAAGTATTTTCAACATTTATTTTCGTGTATTCCTTTTGTTTTGGGATAGATGCAGCACGCCAACACATAATTTACGCTAGAGCCAATTTAACGGAAAATTAATTAGACAATTATGTCTTCTGAGGTAATTTTAACATTTAGTTTACTGGCAGTAGACCTAAATATGATATGATTTTAATATTCTTCATATCTACAGGCCAACACTGAATTAAGATTAATTGTGTTATTTTCAATTCAGGTGGAAACTTTTCGAGGCAGTGACAGCCCACCTCTGAAATACAAGGATTTATACGATGGAGTTTTCCTGTGTGATGTCATGCAACAGATGTGAGTAGAATCTAGAAACAATGCCGAGTAAAATTGTGTCCATATCACGTTACCATTGTCAAATTCTCATAAAATTGTGTTAATTTGTTTTAAGACCATTCCATGATATTCCCATTCTGGACATGAAAATCACTCCAGTAAAGAATGCAACAGAATGTCCCCAGCAGCATGGCCAAGTTTCTTTGTGGAGTATTGAGTTGATCACACCGGTTATTCCTCAGATAGGATAAATAATTGATTGTAAAGTGAATAGTCTCATGCTAGCAGGTGCTATATATGTGACTGAATATTTCTCGACTGCGCTTCATACCTGTTGTGACCTTTCATGTCTTGATGCTGGTATGTTACTGATTTGTATTAACTCATGTTGAAATATCACACAATAACTCAACATGGACTATACTAGTATAGTTAGACTAATGCTTAGTTTCTGAATATATATAATTTTGATAGTAACAAACAAGCCCATTTAAAGTGAAAAGGAGCCCTAGGGAGACCAGAGATTCAGAACCTGAGGAAATCTAGACTTACTTATTTAGGGCTTTAGCACTGCAGAGAGAGCTTGGCAGTAGGGAAAATAATGTGGTTCAGGGACTGAGACAGACTATAGTATAGTCATCCAGTCTCTAGTAAATAGATTAGCCTGATAAGGGAATATAAACCGGATATTGTTTGATAGCCATCAATGTGTGGATATTGTTTGATATCGTTCGATTATGTCCCTTATCAAGAAAAACAAAGAGTAGTTGCATTTTTTGCACTTTTTTTAGGTAAAAAAATTAATGTATGTTTTCTTTAAATACGACATGGAAAGTTTAAAGATATATTTGATTTGTTATAATTGGTTCATTGAGTGTCTGTGTCTTTTGGCAGTAGTTTGAAGCCTGACTCTGGTAAAAGTCTGTTCGGTCTAGGAAGCTGAGCAAATAATTGTCCACATAATAACTTAAACTTCTACTGAAAATGATATCGAGCCATGGGCTAGTAGACTCAGGATTTTTTGCCGTAAGCTGCATCAGTTTCCTATTGCAGATATTCTTTGGTACAGCTTATTGTCTAAATAAGAAAACTGGTTCCCCTGACCTACCAACCACTGACCCTTGAAAAACGATTGCCAGCATAGCTTATCTATCAATCGATTAGGGGGTTAAACTGAAGTGATTTGGTTGTCAAGCCGGTTAAGTGGGAACTATTATTTTAATTCGATATTCTGGTCATTTTGTGTCCATGTATTTAGCCACAGGCACCTCAGTCAGTTAAATTCAGCTAGCCTTGCATCATTAACCGTCATCAGTGCCTGCATGTTGGTCACGCTTCACTGACCATGTACAATGGTGAGGAAGTGCGGAGGTGGAGGTAGGTGGGGAAGGGGGTGTTTGTTCCCAGGGGTATTGTAATCTCCAACTGGCTAAACTGCACTCAGCATGTTCACGCTCCACAAAGGTCAATGTCACCCGTGGTACGTGTCAGCGTACCTGTAGTTGCACCTGTGGTTAGATAATTACTTGATTACAGGTAAGAACTTCAAAGGCTGATCTGGGCAGGTAGAGTGTGATGGGAAGAAACTGTGGAGGGGAATACTATAGATATGGGGGATCAGTAAGATTATTTGCACAGATGAGAGGACAAGGGAATTCCTTCAAAATAAACAGAGGTTTGACATATCAGACAAGTTGTTATCATATCAGCAGGGTTATATATTTGCTGGTGCTGTCATGTTGCATCTGGAGACTGATTGAGCCAAAAATGGACCTAAAATTATGAAAAATGGACAGCCTGTTTTGTTTTATAGATGTAAATAATGAAAGCTTTTGTCAGTTGGATCAATGATGTCAATGTTTCACATATTAAAATGTTTTATTCTGTCAATAAATTGAATTCACCTACCTTTCATCAATAGCCACCATCTGTTTTTCAGGAGTTTTAGTCACCTTAAAGTTTTATTTGAATCATTTTGTGATAAAAATAATTAACCAACTTCACTTGGTCTAGGTTTTTGTAAAAATCATCGGACAAAAATGTGAGGTCGGCATCATTTCATCGTCATTTATATTGTCCAAGCACCACAATCAGTGGGATAAGAAGAACTTTGTCATCTGGATTATATTTTATTTTTATGGTCGATGGATCTGTAAAGTAAATATAAAGTCTGTTTTTATAAGCAATTCTGTTAAGTAAAGGGTGTTTAACATGAGTTGAGTCTGTCTGGACAAATGTACCTTCAAGGCTGGAGTATGATTTTAAAAGGGTGTGTCTCAGTTGGCTAAACTTGAAGTGTTTGCTGAGATCATTCAGAATATTTTTCTTCTTTGAAGATTTACTTTAACATGTCTAAGAAAACACAAAACACACCAAGTAATCAAACAGTATATACATCTTGTTCAAACTTCCAGTTGCATTATTACATCAGTCAAACAATATTTGCTATTTGGTTTCGTTGTGGAAGTTTTGTTGAGTCTCTCAGAGTAGGACTATTTACACAAAGTATTCTGTTTACTTATATTGTAATGATAATCTCCAAAACAGTCAGTGACAACTGTCAGCTGATAAGATATTGTATTATTTCCTCATTTATTAGAGGCAGCATTTAGACAACTGGCCAGTAAAATACCAGCAATACTGAGCATGTTCAAATTATATCCTGTAAACAGAAGTGTCGCAGAAAGAAACTTGACTGTCACTGTCAATGGTTCACTGTAGCATATTTGAGTATTGAATTGAAATTTTTAACAATAAATGTGTTAATTAACTAGGGTGAAAGGTATATCATGTAACAGTTTATTTTGTCAAATATAATGCACATCAATATAATTTGGCTTTACCTTTTCTATTTTTAATTAAGTTTATGAATGGCTTTTAAAGCTGTGTATTGCCTGAGATCTTGTGACTATTGTGATGCTGATGTGCAACAAAAGATAGCAATAAATACCTGTTTAAAACCTCTTTCTAAACACTTATTGTTATCATAAAATAATAAATAACAATATGCATGAAACCCACTTTTGTCTGATGATGTTTTAAACCTGAAATGTGCTGAAACTGAAGGCTTAAATGTCACCAGCTCATTTATGTGTTCACCATACTTACACATGGGCTATGTTACTTACGAGAGGGAACTACATCCATTCCTGTTCTATAGACAGCATATCATGATTCCATAAACCAGCATTTAAAGTATTGTTTTTACCTAAGTATCTATGACATCATAAGCATCAGTGTATCGTTATCACACAAAATTGTTGTAAGAAATGTTTTTACATGTATGTGCAGAAAGGTATGAAAAGGAACTGTATAATTATGCAACAATAATATTCATCACTTGTATATAGAACCATAGAATATAACAATTATTAATCCTTGAAGATAGCTTCCAAGGGCTTTAGTTTAGAATCTCGAATGCAACCAACAGTATGACCTTACCCCTGTTGCCTGTGTTGTACAGAACACCTTGAACAATGATTCTGTTTCATGTCTTCTGGAGAGGACATGACAAACAGAGCATTGTTTTACCATGCAATTACATTAATTTACAGGTCTGTGATTAAAATCTGTCAGTGCAGTATTGCATGTGAGTTATTATCACTAAGAGATAATGGCTTTGTTCAACTTGAGGTGAAACGCAAGATAATCAGTGTTGTGTTGCTGAATTAATGAGGCTGGAGGCGTCTGACATTGATGTACTGGTCAGTGGTGATGTAAGAGACGCGTCTGCTCATCAGCACGGCAACACTAACCCAATGGGGATTCCAGGAAATAATAGGTCCTCAGTTTTCCATGCTTATTATAGGAGTGTGCTAATGAAAATCCTTTAGTCTTTCATTGACTTTTGTGATGGCATTAACACTGAGATTTACTGAAAAAGATATTAAGAGATTTGGGTCACTAACCCCATGGGGATTCAGGAAAGAATAGGTCCCTAGTGTTCAATGCTTATTATAGGAGTGTACTAATGAAAATCCTTTGGTCATTCATTGACTTTGTGATGGCATTAACACTGAGGCCTACTGAAAAGGATATTAAGAGATTTGGGTCAGGTCAGGCTAGCTGGTACATTCAAAGTTTTGGAACAGACTGCATGGCGTCATACCTGATAACATGGATCGGCTCTTTAAGTTTAAGTCTATATCAGGTCAAGAGAATCAGCCACCTCATAGTGCTGATCCACTGTCCTTGCACCCTATTGTATTCAAAGTTAGAACTTGTCGAAGTAAGAACCTATACTGGTCCTCAGTGGTGATCCAAGTCATCTGTTGGTCACGCAGTGATTTGGTTCATAGCTTGTCATAATCCCAACAGGGTGGATATATCGATCACAAGATCGCCACAATACAGATCACCAGATTTTCTGGTCCAGATTCAATGATATACAGGCCACCATTATAGTTTTATGATATTGATGACTGTGGGATAGATGCAGCATGCCAACACATAATTTACTTTGAAGCCAATTTAATGGAAAATGAATTAGACAATTGTGCCTTTTGGGGTAATTTTAATAATCTGCTGGAAGTAGACCTACATGACACTGTCCTTGTTCTTGAATTGCGCCTGTTCTATATTTTTATCTTTACTTTAAGCAAGTTGACATGACTGCAATAGTACAATGGTCAGAGAGCTAAAATAGTTTGGTTTTTTAAAACAGGACCCTGGTCAAGGGGTCAAAAGCAGGGTCTCAGCTGACATGATCTCCTTAGGTCATGTGTTTGCCTAACCTTGCACAATCAGCAACAGAACTGTCCACCAACATCAACAAAGCCAAGAGGGGCAAGTGGGCTATGGTCGTTACATGTCATTGATCCTCATGAGGATGTGGACATTGACAACTACAGCACCAACATCAGCGCTAACAACAGCATCAATACAGTTACTCAGTTGTTGCAACTTGCCGCCAGGGTGTCACTTTTCACAGCTTCAGGGGAAAGTGTTGTCAGACATGTAGTGTGTTATTTTACATTGGCAGGAAACTTGCAACACAATATGTCTAGTGACAGAGGGGTCTC